CGACATCAGCAGTTTTCATTTATTATTTGCATGTTGTATCTTGCTTCTTACCTGCGTGCCTCCTGCCATGCAACACACCTGCACGAGTCACCCTCAGAATAGCCCCATTCATAGATGTATGGCCCCACTACCACTGACTGCCACCTGGTGTGCAAAACATGCATTACACCAATGTCTTTATATTATGTTTTTCAGTCCAAGCCGCTCTGTTCATATGTAATAAATCAGGCTGTCTGTCTTATTTAACTTCTTTCCAGTAACTACGGCCCCACAATAGCGGTGCAGAACGAGGCAGTGAAGCGAGGCTGTCAGCAGGTCCTCTGGCTGTATGGACAAGATGAGGAGATCACCGAGGTCGGCACCATGAACCTCTTTATCTACTGGACCAATGAGAAAGGAGGTCAGATTCTTTTTGTTCATATTTGGTTGTTTTTTCACCCAGTCATCTTTTTATTGTTCACACAGTTTAAACCTGCTCTTGTGAATTTTTCCTCTGTGGATGCAGAGAAAGAGCTGGTGACCCCGCCGCTGGATGGCATTATTCTCCCAGGAGTGACCAGACAGTCGCTGCTGGACCTGGGAAGATCCTGGGTAAGAGACCGCTGTTAGGTCAACAAGACAGCTGCCGGAGCCCCGCCCACACTGAAAGTCCAGCACAGATGCAGGATAAGCAGAAATAGAACAAAAGGAGTCTCATTTTTAGTCTGAGTCTTAGTTAGTTTGTAGCATCCCAGTTCTTGTTAGCATTTCCCAGCATGCTGTTCAGTGGTGTCATTTTTTGCAGACGAGCGTTTCCTAGTTTCAGAAATTGTCTTGAACAAATTATTTTGGTTGGTCGGGCTTCTCCGGGTTGCCAGGTGGGAATTTAATGAGGCATTCCAGCTGAAAGATTACGATTGGGATTTCCAACTTCTACATTTGAATGTAGTGCAGCAATAAAAAAAATAAAATAAAAAAAATTCTTTCTTTGTGTGTTTCTGTCAGGGAGAGTTTAAAGTCACGGAGCGGACTATGGGCATGAAGGAGCTGCTTGGAGCTCTGGATGCCGGGCGAGTCCTGGAGGTGTTTGGTGCAGGGACGGCCTGCGTCGTCTGCCCCGTCGGCAGCCTCCTCTACAAAGGAAAGGTGGGAGTTCATCTCCTGGTTCTGATGCTGCTTATTTTTCATGAGTAATAGTGACGTTGCGGGGTTTCCTGTGGCCCATTATCAAACATGAATATTTAATTTTTCTGCTTTGCTGAGTCATCAGGCAACATTTGTGGACAAATAATTATGTGGAAAGTGTTCGTTTTTAAATATTCATGTTTGACGGTGTGAGGAATCCATGGAAATCACCAATAACGTCAATATTTCCTTCTGTTTTCTCTCAGATGTACCAGATCCCCACCATGCAGAACGGTCCAGATCTGGCCAAAAGGTTCTACAAAGAGCTTACTGATATTCAGGTAAGAGCGTCACCACATTTATATCCCAAATCTAAGTATTAGGCACTTGGAGCATCTTTAAAGTGATCAAGGGAACTTGAATGCTGCTGCTTCCAAGTGGCAGCAAGAGGGAACTGAAAAATACAGGGTCCAGATTCCTAAAGTATATCCACACGAAGGCAGAAATGTGTAGTATTTTCATTAGACCTCTTCTGCACACTGTTCTCTTTCAGCAAGGCATGCGCACAGATGTGCAGAATTATTAGGCTTCAGATTAAATTTAGTGTATGTAAACAGAACCAAAACTCCAAACGTGTGCATGCTGAGTCACAAGAAGCTATTGTCTATGCATACTCTCTCACCCACAGAATAGAAGATGGACGTAGCCACTGTGGCATGTGAGCATATTATAGATAACTCTCCTTTTAGTTGTAGAAGGACCAATGTTTACGAAAGATTTCAGGTTCTATTAAATATTTAACTAGAACCCGAGCCTATGAAGTCACTGAGATCACTGAGCAAGGACGATCAAATTCCCATAAACATCAACTCTTTGCAGCCAGAGAAGTCGCCCCCTGCTGGCCATTAAAAAGAACTCTGGCTTAAAGCTCTTCTGCACTGGCTACACTCTTTAGGCCTCAGAGCTGTGCCCGTTTAGTTTATGTGAGGGAAAAGACGCAAAACACACCCATGCATGTTTTGTTTTTCTTTAACACATCCGACCTTGATGCCGATCAGTCCGACAGATATTCTTCTTTCTCAGATCAATAATCAGTAAAACATGATATTGAAAGAGTATTTATTTATGACTTGTTTTATGACAGTCTGCTATTGGAATAACAGCACTTGTTGCAGGCCTAGCTTATCCTGTGACTTTCTATATGTGAATTTATTTTTTATTTCACGCCCACATTTCCTTCCTCTGTATTTATTTGTTTCCCTCTCCTCTTTTGCTTCCTTGTGTTTCCTGCAGTACGGACGCACACCAAGTGAATGGACTCCACTGGTTGTTTAAACAGCTACTTTGCACATGCCGGTTGTATCAACATTTAATCCGCTGATTTCAGTTTGGGACAACCAACAGCGACCCATCCCCTCCCCCCGCACCCACCGCACTCCTTTCATCCAATGAATGCACTCCTGCTTTGTCACTCGGGGACACAGACGCCTCTCTCTTCCTGTCTTTTTGGACGCCTTTCACGGATGTTACTGTCTCAGAAAACCAGTTGGTGGTTTGAATGCAGCAATACTAACGGCAACGTTTGCCGATATCAAGTCCGAAGAAAATTTTGATTGTTGGAGGGGAAAAAAGAGATTTTAAATATTAACATGATTCACAGCATTAATACAGACTAAACTTCACTCAGATGCTCGTACTTTCATTTTAATCAGCCCAGCATTAACAAACAGGCACATAATTTGACATGTTTCAGGTGTCGTAGTCACAAGCTACAGGTTTGTATTTGGTGTTTAAGACTTTGGTAGTTGCTGTTACTCATCAACAAATGTCACAACAGCAGTTGATATTAGCTCGTGGTATTTAACCTAAAACCTTTAACTGTTACATGTGAGTAGCCAAAACTGGAATAGCCAACCTTGTAAGGATGTGTTATTTCTTATTGTCGTGTACTTGGCGAACTGATCTGTAATTTTTCATGGGGCCACGTCGCTTGGACACCAGAGTTTGCACTAAGCTTAGTTGTAACATCTGTGTGTGACTCGGCTTTTTAGAAAATAATCATGAGTGGGTTTTAATGTTTGTTGGTTTTATTTGTAAAGACTTTGACAGCACAAAAAAAGATTTGAGCAAGCAGCAGCACGCACAAACAGAAGGACTGCTGAACGCCGACACGCTGCAGACGAGAGAGACTGTTAGATGCTGCACTCCTGAAAAATACTGTACGGTAGCAAATAGACCTGTTATTTTAGAGAGTTTTAAATTATAATTTTTCCTCCTCGTTGTGATGTGAAATTCAGCCGACTGTCTTCCAGAGTACTTGACTGTGTCACCATGTGTTTAGCTGTGACTTTCTCTGCTATATTTGTACACGCTGTAAGTCTCCTCTGTCCAAGTGCCTGATCTGTCTGTCAGCTTCTTCTTCATCTGTCCATTTAAAGCTGCTGATTTTGTCTTTAGGGGATGTAGCTGGATATGTAAAGCAATATCTGTTTAGTTTTTTAAATGTGCTGTTAGCTTTATTTGGCTGTTTTTGTTTTTACAATAAAGCAAGGTTGAGTTCAGTGGGTCCTTTGTTTGTTTTTGGGTTTTTTTAAAAAAATCATCTGTATTTAAATTTAGCATTTGATTAAAAGTTCTTCTAGATGATATTAATAATAATCATTTAATCAGTGTTTTGGTGATGAATTTATGATTTAAGCTTTGTGGTGTGACTGAAGGAACCATTAGAAGATGGGTACAATGCGGTGAGCAGCAATACTCAGGCTGTGGCGATCAAACAGATGCAATCCCTCACACTTACAGCAGCATCAGCAGCCTTAACAAGCAGTTGAATGTGTGCACCTGATAAAGTGGCTGGTGAATGTCTGTCATGTTATTGTGCAAAACCAATTCTAACAAGCTTGAAAGTCAATGTTTGCTGTGACCGCCTTTATTCCTCAACACATCCTGAACTGTCGTAGGTGCGCTTTCTTGTGATTTCTTTAAGTAGTCTTCAGAATGAATTCTTCGGGCTTGTGGAAGGACATTCAGACCTCTGCAAGTTGTTCCATCCTGTCAAGATGATCTCATACGTCCAGACTGTGAGGAGGTCAAACCCTGATGCTTTCCAGATGGATCAAAACGTGGTACTTTTCTGTGTTTGTAATTCCATCAATTTTGACAAAATCTCCAAGACCACAGGCTGAAACCACGACAGAGGCTCCATTGTGTTTACAGATGGCTGTAGACGCTTCCTGTCGTACGTCTGTTGTGCCTCGTCTGTAAATACTGACAAAGATTAAACCAAATATTTAAAATTTGGATTCTTCACTCCATCAGATCTTTTGCCACAGATTTTCAGTCCAGTTCTTGTGTAATTTGGAATATCTCTGACTTTTCCCCCACTTTCCTTAAGAATAGCCTCTTCACAGCTGCTCATCTACAAGACGTTTGTGTCGAGGCTTCAGTGAGCAGTAGATGGACCAGCTGAAGGTCCAGATCTCTCAGGTCTTCTGCCAAGTCTTTGCTGGATTGTCTTTTTCCCTTAAAACATGGCATCTGCTGTCAGGGTTTTTTTTATTTTATTTTGTTTTTCCCCTCCACTTTTTTTAGTTTGTAATTTTAAGGACAGACTGCATGCACACCATGTTTTCAGCTAAAAACTCTGGGAAATCCTTGTTGGTGCAAAATTACAATTTCGTGCTTGTCAGTTATCTTTGGCATCTTTTGTGGTTGATCTGAAAAAATGGGAACAAATTACTGTTTATGTGACAGGCTGCTAGTAACAAAGTGCCTAAAGACACGGTGTGAAATTGGCTTTATAAGTTGCCTTTTTATCTTTGATTAATTTAATTGGTCGGGGTTATCTGTCCACTATCAAATACAAGCGTGTCAAAAAGCACCAAATGTCCAAAGAGGATTTTCTCACAATTAACTTTTATTCTTTTATGAATACAATAAAATGGAGCCCACGACATCCAACAAGGCAATCTTCTTAAAAATAAGTAATTCAGTTGCTTTGCATACAGAAATCCAGACGCTTCTCCAGTAACTAAAGATGGACGCCGCCATCTTTTTCACAGAAAGAAAAAAAATGAGATATGGCACAACTACTAAACTTTTTTTTTTTCTATTTTAGCAGGAAAAAAACTTCATTTCATACAGTTTAATATTTTACATTTGTCTGCACTAAGACTGGAAATTGTTTCATCAGCAGTTTATGTAAATGCAATATAGATGTATTGCATGACTATAATACCACAGTATTTACCCAGGTTAAATACTTTATAGATACACTTTCACTTGAATCTCTGCAATCATAGAAAAATTACCACCCACTTTTTCTGACGCCAAAAATCCCCTTTGAATAATAACTTTTATAAATTTATGCTGACTTCCCTCAAGCAAGGGACAAAAACAAGTTCCGGTCCTCATTTCTGGTAGATGATATTAACCCTGAACCTTTGTCCAAGCAGCAGTGGTGGATCTACTGTTCCTCATCCTCAGAGTCTGGTGTGACGCCTCCAAACACAGCAGAGGTGTGCTCTCCCAGCGGGTTGTAGAGGAAAGCTTCGATTTCTCCCCCGCCGTTGGTGTTTTTCTGGAAGTGGATTTCTAGCAGGTCCTGCAGAGTTTCCCGCTCCATGATGTCGGGTATTCCTGTCAGCATTACCGCCCGAGGACACTGCGTCATCTTGGTCTGATGGACGATCCACCACACACACACACACACACACCCCCACACACACACACACACACACACACACACACCCCCACACACACCCCCACACACACCCCCACACACACACACACACACACACACACACACACACACACACAAAACCCTCAAATTTATTAAAATATATTTTATTAGAATTTCAGTAAGAGCAGATACAGATAATCTGATAAATGTGCTTACCTTCAGGTTTGAAATTTTCCCGTTGAGGAAAGGCGTCACTCTCACTGTGTGCTTCTTCTTTTGGACACTCAAGTCATGGAACTCATTTTGTACCACACGTTTGGCAACTAATACAAAAGAAACAGTCCATCAGCTGGTGGTCAACAACAACAATCCTGATTACTCTTTATATGCACAGCTCAGAACATCATAATCCACCAAACACAGAGTTATTCATGTCTCTGAAGTTTCATTTAAACAAACTGTGCCCTGTGACATGAGGGTAAAATATTCGATGCTCACTGTTCTCCGCAAACGTGAGGACCACCGTCTCAGAGTCAGACAGGTATTCACAGTCCGCCACCTCACCGCCTCCATTTTTAGTTTTGGAGAAATGGATCTCCAGCTTGTCCACCAGAGTCTCGGTCTCCATTCTGGGCAGGTTGGAGATTAAAATACGCTGAGAAGAAACCTCAGAGTCGATCTGCGGGAACAGACGGGACACGTGAGCAGATCAGCTAAACCTGGGCCGACGCCGTCTTTGATTCGCTGTGGTCGTTTGTTTTACCTCCACCAGCTTGGGCAGCATCAGATGAACCGGCCTGGCCTCCACTGTGATGCTGCACTCTCCTCCCAGATCCACCTGATGCTTCTTCAGTTCCAGAATCTTCCTTGCCACTGGAAAATGAAACAGAGAGATCCGGAATTTTAAATTTAATTTATATTTTTGAAAATAGCCGAAAGTGATGATGAGAGCCTGAAGATTCATCTTGCAGATTATTTATTTCATTTTGGAGCCCTAATAATCTAATAATAAAGAACTAATAATTTTATTTGGCTCCAGTTTAAAGCCAAATAAGCTGCAAAAAGCATCTTCCTGCTTGCAGCTTAGTAGCTGGTTTTGAAAAGTGACATTAGGCCCCCTAGTGGCTCAGTTTTGCCCTGCAGCTGAAGGTAGATACATTTATCAACATACTTTTTGAATTTTTCTGTTGAATGTGGCACAAAAACGTGAGTGCGATCCATCTACCTGCTGTTTAAGCCACCTACAGAAGGTTAAAGGGGGAGGAGCTAAAGCAGCTTGTTTAATTTAGAAGTCCTGCACCAAACCCCAAAGTAAGAAAAATAAAAATTATTTTGAACAGCAAATCACGCAAAGCTCCTCCGGTACAGTGCATGAATAAAAATATGGAAATTAGCATTTTAATACTTTATGCACACTTTTTAATGTTTCTGTTAAAAATAAGATCTAATCACCTGCTTCCTTTTAACAAACGCAGATAAATCTGAACCACGCCAGTGCCGGCAAAAACTCACCGACTTCCTCCTCGAAGGTAATCAGCGCCGTCCCGCCATCCATCGGGTAAACGATATGTGGCTTCATCTCAAACTCTTGCTTGTTGTTTGCATTTCCAGTCGCTCCCTTGAAGACCATGTCCCTCTCTGGTACAGAGGTGAACACCTGAAATCAGCAGGTACAGGTTAACGGGGTGAGGTCACGGCGTGTCGGGCTGCAGAAGGGGGTGTGTCTCATCAGGTTAACGTACGTCGGCCTGTTGCATCAGGTGCTTCTTATTGGCCTCTTCCTCCTTAATAGCAGCATTAGTTTCCTTGATCTCCGCCACCAGTTTGAGCTCCTCCTGCTTTAGCAGATCCAGCTTCGACTAGAAGACACAGAAATCAAAAAGCATTTAAGGTTTTGTGGGATTCTAATGTGCTGTTTTCTAGTGATTCAGTTTTTTAATTTACACTGTTAGGAAAGCAATTACAAGTATTTACATTCACTCAATATTAACAATAACATGTACTATTTTGTTAATTGTTGTTTAATGCCATTGCGTTGCTTGTCCTATTGTTAATATATATTTTTATGAGTTATTGTCACTTAAAATTTTCCATTTCATATTTAACTCCCACCTTGTTTTCAAAGGCGCAACCTTAAAATTCATGGAATAACTATTATCTGTCCTCTTGACTCCTTGTTTCCTTCCTGTTATTGAACCTCTGCCATCTGACCAACATTTTTCCCTTGAGGGGAAGTGCAGTGAGGAAATTCCTTGGGTTTTACTCTATACTTATTCGCAGTGCTTTAAATGGTGGTGGAAAAACTCAGAGTAACACTGAGAAATAAGCATGTTTATGTCACACATGCTTTACCTTTTCATTGGCTAGCTGGTCTCCGTAGGAGCGTTTGTCAGCTTCCAGATCCTGGGTCAGTTTGTCAGTGCGGTGTTTGAACTGCTGCTTCAGATCTCGCCGGTCTTGTATAGTTTTAGTCAGCTCCTTTGTCTCCTCCATCAGCTGGTCATACTTTTTCTGTGGACACAGAGGGAGAGCTGAGTCCAGGCTGTTGTTATTATTGATGTCTAATCAGCATGACATGTAACATCTCTTTAAACACGAACTTTTGTGGTTGTATTTTGTGCAGAACAACAGAACAACTCTTCTCGGAGTTTAATAAATGTTAAAACAGTTATTTTAATAACACACAATCTCTTCTGAGTTCTGTTCTTCTGCTCCTAATAAATACAGCATGCTTATGCTGTGTATATGTATTTCAGCCTTTATTTAACCAAAACTGAATCTGTGTGTGAGCATTCAGCTAAGATAGACAGCAGCTCAATCTGCAGTGTTTACAGAACAACACACACACACCTTTAGTGGAAGTGTTTCTGATTTTAAAGCTGAACCTATGGTCAAAGGCAGGACCTGGACAGAGACATGCAGTGGACCTCACACACCTGCACATTCAGTTTTCTTTTCACCCGAGCGCCTGCTGGTTATTGTAAACATTTCTCCTGTTTTGTGTTAAAACACCAGAAACAGAATTGCTGCTCATCTCATCAAGGACATTACTACACTGTAGTGCAACATACGTTAAAGTCTCCTTTACATTATGTCTACATTATTATACTCTTCCATTTTTGACCCATTAAGCCATGAAGGTTTAATTAAATTGTATGATTTCGTGATAAAAGCGTGTTCCCTCCACAGCGTGGATGAACGAGAACTTGGATTCAGAATGCTAACTTGCAGTTTTTTGAGAAGTTTGATATACGTTTGTGATCATATGATGCAAAATGTGCACTCCTGATCTTTCTCGTAACAGTAAATAATATTCCCAAAATGTCCAGGATGCAGATCGGGATTGACTCCAGAACTTTAACCACTTCTATGTTTGGCGACACCACCCCTGTGGTAAAATGTTCATGCAACCTCTTGGGTAATAGTGCTCCATACTAAACAGAACTAATCACACAGCCTCTTTAGTGGAGGTAGAAATCACGAGATCGAGAACTGGACCTGACAGAGAGCTTTCTCCCTACTAGAAATAGCAGTTTTAGGAAGTCAACATGCTTACAGCAGAAGATAAAAACATGAAACTTGTGTACGTTTAGAATGCCTGTCTCAAAATAAAAAAGGTTTTGAGTCTGTTTTTTTGAATATACACACATATGTAACTGATCTCAGGTCAGCAGGTGGCTTGTTCCACAAAAAAGGACCACAGAAACCGAAGCACCCGCAGCATACTTGGATCTCATTTTAGGACTGGGTTGTATTCAGAGACATATGAATAGTTTAGGAGCCCTGCGTGTAACTGGAGGTAAACTGCCCAAGTGTAATGAAGCCGCACTCATAAATTCTCAATGCACCTTGTAGTTTTTGATTGAAGCCTTAATCCCCTCCAAGGTGTCCTCGGATTGTGAATCCGGAACCAGAGAGAAGTCCTGAAACACAACATGGAGACACGGAATGCCGGAAGGTAAGTAAACGCCTACACTCAGGCTGTGTAACACAGTGGGTTAATAGATATCTTTAACACACTTAATAAATGTTGGCAGGGAGAGCAGCATTACGCGTGTGGTTTAAAACGCTTTGATAATAACGACAACAACAACAGGAAGAAGCAAAACGAGCTCTCACCTCGTCTGACGACATAGTGAAAGTAACCTGGAAAAAAAGTTTACAAAACATTACAGATGTGACACACTGTCACTCACTTGAACAGCCAAATGAGGTTTTTAACAGAGGATCGACACAGACTGAGAGTCAAACAGCTAAAACACAGCTCAAGTAAACTTCACAACAACAAAATGTACCGCAGGCCTGCTTTAAACCACACACAGATGACATCTCAGTAAGTTGAATTACTCTGAACCTGGAAATAAATCACCTAAATCAAGCCTCTGATGAAAACTCCCACATTTCACATGAATTTGCGTGTTTTTATCAAGGTTTATTTCTTATTTTTAAAAAAAAGCAGCCGCAGTGAACCTACCTCCTCCCGACGATCACTGCTCTGAACTCACACTCGTTCTTTCAGTTTCTCTTTCCCCGCAGGAGGATCCCCTGCGTCTTTACGTATAATTAATGCCGCTTCCCACCAGCAGGGGGAGCTGCATCCAAAATAAACAAAACGCTGCATTTAATTCCTGTGGGAAATACGGAACCTTACATCAGCTGCGAAGCACTTCATGAGAGGAAAAAATAATTCAGATTCTGTTTTTGGAACACCTTCAAGTTTCCGATTCATTTAACTTCTGATATAAATAAATATAAATACACACACACACACACATATAAATTACGTCATATTTCCTTTTCTTTTATGTTTTAGCGGTGATGATCAGTCCGCACATGTATGCCAGCGTGTTTTTTAAAATTAATTATTAAATTACTTTTTTTATTTTATTTTACAAACCAAAGAGACAAATATATTTTTAAATATAATAATGTGGATGGTATTCGTTAGGGGCAAATCTAGGAACTTGAGAACAGGTATTGCAGTGCAGGCACGTTATGTCAGGATCAAAGCACACATCAGTCTGATCTGATGATTGCTGACAAATCCAGATATTTCCTGTATATTTTTATTGTATCTTTGTAAGAATATTGTTTCAGCCATTTTCATGTTTTTCAAAAACTTAAAATATTGTTTTTCACCCGTTTAAAGTTCATCCCCGCATCAATACACCTGTAACCAGTGATCAATTACTTCAATATTAAAATGTTGAACAAATATTCAATATTTAAGATTTCTCATGTGCAGTCAAGTTTCTTAAAATCAAAATTTGCCTGAAACTGCTAAACACTATACAAATTGTCTGATGAGCTCTGATCACAATACAACGTACCAACAGCTAAGTGAAGATTTTCTATCATTGCAGTCTGCCTTTAATTCAGATGCTTAAAAAAAAAATAAAAATGAAAATGCAACCACATCTCACTGCCACATTCATACACCCTCATTGAATGTTCAAGTATTCGAGCCATACTCCTCTGAAAGTTCCCGAGAATCTTTCATGCTAAAATGTTCATTGAATAATTAGTCAGGCTTACATTTTGTTCAACCTTTAAGTTTGTATTTAGCTGTTCCAGCTGATCAAATTCACACAGAAGCAGCAGTGAATGATTTCTTTCAGCAGAAAATGTGAACTCGTGTCTGATTCCAGTATCAGTCTTGTAAAGTTCACATTATTGGTGCCGTTTAGTTCCAACCACTGTTGAAAGCAGGCAGTAAGATATCATACAACCTGTTTCAAAGATTGAAAAAAGGTGAGTGATGACTTTGTGCCAAGGTCAGACATCTGCACTAAGTTACAGGGTAATTTGGTGCGACTAAGTCCTCGTAACCAAGAGTAACTCCGATTACTTTTTCAGCAGCTGGTGAATATTACAAGTCTATTTCCACAGTTTTCCAGATGGAATCCTTAAGAATATTTCATGAATTTTCAGTATGAGAAAACACACCCCACACAAACACGATGAGTCAAGAGTGAAAATCAGTTTTTAAACATTTATTTGTGAAACCGAGTGAATTTAGAATCTGAGCTTCTGGAAGAACCACTTGTTCTTGCCCGTCTTGTACCTGAAACAACAAACAGGAGGTGAAGTCATTTTCTCTGATCAAACAGAACAAACATCACTGATTACAATCTGGACGTGCACACACCAACTGCTTGCTAAGAGGAAATTACAAAATGTTTCAAAGAACGGGTTTATTTTGATCATAATGGGATCTTTTTTCCCATGATTGTGCTGCCGCCGGACTTTTTGTCCACTTAACTCTACTTTACAAAACATACTCATTTTGAAATCATGAAAGATGTAACCCTGATGTACTTTATTAAAATTGAGACATAAATCCTCTGATGTTAAATCAAAAGGAAATCAGGGAGACTCACCTCTCCTCAAACTTGACCTTGGCCTCCCGCCTGGCTTTGCGTTTGAGAGCTGGATCCCTGAAGACATCCTTGTTCACAACAGTTTTGTCCAGAGGAATATCCACAGAGTATCTGAAGGAGTAAAAACATGTTAAAGACTTTTTTTTTTAAATTGACACCAATGGCTGACTGCAGCTCGCTCTGCTGAGCACCTTCATACCTGTACGATATGAACAATCAGTATCGCTTTACTAGCTTCCAGATTCATAAATTACAAATGGATCATAAACCTGCTCAATGTTCAAGTCGACGTTCTCCCTCAGCGTTGCATCAACTTTGTTCAACGTTACACTGAATCAGACACATCAAGCACTTAAGGCAGCCTGTGTGGGTGAAAAGCCACTGATGTCAACCAGCAACTAACTGCTGTTTGATAAAAATGACTCCTCTTGTTCAACATTCTTCTACAAATTACAATTTGATCACATCTTCGATCAACAGCTGAACATCACATATTCCTGCATCAGAGCATCAGCAGGATGACTGTCAGACCTTTTTATACCTCAGTCTAAAAATGAAAATCACTGGACCAAAACTATAACTGGCCCACGTTCTGAAAACCAGGCGCCAGTTAAGAAATAAAAAAAAAAATTAAGCAAAATCTCTTTTCGTCATCAAGATAAAGTTTTATAGTTTTTATAGGTTTTGAGCACCAAAGATGTCTGAAGAGCATCTGTTCAGATGAAGTGACAGCAGCGTTTAACAGACCTATTTATGTACTTAAAGGGATCAGTCATTTTACGGAGCAAAACAGCCGTCCTAAAAAAACAGAGTACTTTTTGCTTAAGTGGCTCGTTCACCCTGAAGTAGTAACAATTATTCAGATCAAACGCATAAGGCAAGTCAAGCATGTTGGTCGTTTAAAACAAGTGGATCCAAAAGCAGAAGAAGCAAAGAACAGCTGTTAACAGCTGGAAAGGACAAAAAGCAACAAAAACATCTCCAGTAATAAAACTTTGATCTGAAGACGCCACACATTCCAACTCTCTGCTTAAATAACTGCAAGCAATATAATATTTAAACTTCTAATGAATGCACAGTTCAGATTCAGACACGCACTGTATTTATTTGCACCTCATCGAGTTTGATGGGTGGATTTATGAATATGAGACTCACAGAAACTGTCATTACACAAGTTTCACAATATTGATTATCATTGATTATCTGTAAATGTCTTCACAGACACATAAATAATAATGGGAAGAACACCATGTCAGATTTCAGCCCATAGATTTGATTGGATTTTTGAAAAAAGAATAACCAGCCTCCTCGATTAAACTCAAAACATTTAATCAACCAGATGTTTTTAAAAATGACAGCCTTTCTTGATTTAGCATTAATAATATGGTATCCAATCATGTTACAGCTGTTGGACACTTTTTATAAGACATTCCAAAAGACTTCATCTGTCACCACCACTTTATTTTCTTTACAGGAAAACCTAATTATGTCAATGTAGATGAGACACTGACCTGGTGGGCATGAGGTGGTTGTAGTTGAACACCTTAACGAAGGCCTTGATCTTGGACCTTTTGGCGATCTTCTTCTTGCCCATGGATGTGGTCACCTTACGGGGATAGCGGTCGATGCCGGCGACCAGAGCGTGGCTGTAGGGGCGGTCAGCGGTGCCATCATCAATGTTCTGCAGGCAGACATTAGCAGGAGGATGTGACATCAGAGACACGAAACACTTACAAGACGAAAAGCTGAATTACCACTGCAGTATGTATTTGAAGGCAAAGAAATGTATCAGTGTTTCCCCACGTATCAGTTTTCCTTTAATGTGCTGCCCACCCAAGTAAAGCCAGTTAGAGCAGTTCTGGTGAGTTACCCAGCCTTTTATTTTATTTTTCTTTCCACCTGAGGGAATGACACCATCTGGTATTGTTATCAGAGTCAGTATACTTTTTTTAATCCCAAAGGAAATTATGTAAACTCAGTTTCTTCCCATCTCATGTTTTCCCTTCCAGCTGGTCAGGTATGTCGTAGCATTCCAATTATCATTCAGCTACCTTAACTATGGACTTACGCCAACTTGACCATCTTAGAATATCTTCTGAAAAAGAGATGCCTCCTTCCACACAGCACACACATGTGTGTACAAATCCAAACACTACTAAAGCAAAGTCAGTTTAAGCAAGGAGCTTGAGCTGTGCTCCACAGGCAACATGCTCCCCAGCACCCACAGAGATATTTACTCACCACTTTCTAGTTTTACATCCAATATATATACATGAAGTGACGAGCTCTGAGCACAAAGCCCAACTGTAGTTATAACAAAACGTTTGTAGGCTGTCTTACTGAAACACATGGGAAACACATAATACACGGACTGTAATAGGACTTATTTTCCATCCCTCATCGCATGGCCTGAATACTGTATTCTTGGAAATTCAACATGCAGACAAATGGCAATTTGGCTTTCAGATGGACAACTCTGGTAAGAGCTTGGTGTGTACATATTCAGGCACATGTGCCATACAATCAGCAAACTCCCAGAAGCTCTTCGGTCTTACCTTGACGATGACAGCTTTGCGCCCAGCGTAGCGTCCAGCTAGGACCATCACCACCTTCCCAGGCTTCATGAACTTGCCCATTTCTGCCAGAAAGAGAGGGCACATTTGAACTCAGTGTCAATATCATATCAAACCCGTCAATCCGCCAACACGTCTCCAAGTCGGCCTCTCGTTTATGCTACATTAGCATTAGCTTTCAGCTAGGCTAACAGCTTTCAAGCAGTTTTCATTTTAATTATTTTGCTCGGACACATTATTAAGTGCACCGCATAAGCCCCTTTACTTATAGCAAAACGAATACAGCTCAATAAGATGCCTACACACATAAACAGTCGGTTCAATGGGACTCTGAGCGTCTACACATCAAGGAAGCTGCCATGTTGAAAAGAGCACAGCTGGGGACGAAGCGCTGCGATAAATCTGCTCATTTTCTTTCTTTAGCAAACAAAATCTACAAACTAACGGCCACATCTGAACTAACAGAGTCGGTGCCGTCTATGTATCATGAAAAAAATGATAAAATTAGGCGCATTTGGAGCGATGGATGAAGATTGTTTGAAGGGAAATCGCACTCACTGATGCTGTTCTACGGCCACCGCTAACAGGAAAGGAAGTCCACA